ATCTATAATTGCAAAGATCTATCCCCAGCACGACACGTCCTAACAAGATTTCCCGTGCCCTTTCGGGACAGGTAAATAAGCTCGCTGAACGTGTCAGTGTAGCGCGCGTGCGGCCCAGGACGTCTAGGGGCATCACAGACCTGTTATTGCCTTAAACTTCCATGCACTTACATACATAGTCCCTCTAAGAAGTTATACCTGTTGTTCACAAGCAAACTAGTTAGCAGGTTAAGGTCTCGTTCGTTATCGGAATTAACCAGACAAATCACTCCACCAACTAAGAACGGCCATGCACCACCACCCATAGAATCAAGAAAGAGCTTTCAATCTGTCAATCCCATCCATGTTTTGACCTGGTAAGTTTCCCCGTGTTGAGTCAAATTAAGCCGCAGGCTCCACTCCTGGTGGTGCCCTTCCGTCAATTCCTTTAAGTTTCAGCCTTGCGACCATACTCCCCCCAGAACCCAAAGACTTTGATTTCTCTTACGATGCCGAAAGGGACTAATATATTACCCTTCCGATCTCGAGTCGGTATAGTTTATAGTTAAGACTACGACGGTATCTGATCGTCTTTGATCCCCTAACTTTCGTTCTTGATTAATGAAAACATCCTTGGCAAATGCTTTCGCATAAGTTAGTCTTTAATAAATCCAAGAATTTCACCTCTGACAATTAAATACTAATGCCCCCATCTGTCCCTATTAATCATTACTCAAGTCCTAAAACCAACAAAAGACCCAAGTCCTATTCCATTATTCCATGCTAATGTATTCCGGCGAAGACCTGCCTGGAACACTCTAATTTTTTCAAGGTAAATTGTCTACTCGCCCAGCTGCAACCCTAAAGCGCAAAAGGGATTGTAGACGGAGAATCAATTAACTAACTGACGAAGAGCCAACTAGTAACTGACTCGAATTTCAACTACGAGCTTTTTAACTGCAACAACTTAAGTATACGCTATTGGAGCTGGAATTACCGCGGCTGCTGGCACCAGACTTGCCCTCCAATTGTTAATCGTTTACGGATTTGGACTTATCTCATTGCAATCCCGTAACGGAAACCCGCACGAGTTGCTATTTCTTGTCACTACCTCCCCGAATCGGGATTGGGTAATTTACGCGCCTGCTGCCTTCCTTAGATGTGGTAGCCGTTTCTCAGGCTCCCTCTCCGGAATCGAACCCTAATTCTCCGTTACCCGTGACTGCCATGGTAGTCCAATACACTACCATCGAAAGCTGATAGGGCAGAAACTTGAATGATTTACCACGTATACACGCGGTCAGCTAAGTTACTATGATTCACCATGTGATGGTTAAATCTAATAAATGCTACCATTCTTGCGTCCGGTATTTGCGCATGTATTAGCTCTAGAATTACCACGGTTATCCATGTAATTTGCACTATCAAATAAACTATAACTGTTTTAATGAGCCATTCGCAGTTTCACTGTATACTATTTATACTTAGACATGCATGGCTTAATCTTTAAGACAAGCATATGACTTCTGGCAGGATCAACCAGATTACTACTTCAGACATAGTTTAGGCTGTTCAATGAACTGCCGCTATGCTGCAGATAGTGAAAAGGTTCACTCAACTAATTAGAAAGCAGAAACTGCCTTCTAGGCGATAAGCCTGACTCTTTTTTAGAGCAACTATGTCCGAAGACTTCATTACTCCGAGCCATCTCATCTTACGCGTTGCATTCAGCGGTACGAGCTACCTGCAAAATTCTACTCCAATTGAAGCAGATATTTTGGGCAAGCCTTTCCCTTTGAGCAACATATAGGCGGTCGGGCCGAAGCGGCAACCAACACATACCTATACTTATTGCTAATTGCACCATTAATCTTCAATTTCTCTCTGATTATAATGCAACCAACCTTTTTTTACCACCTCAGACGTATTGCTAAGTTGGCTATACAATAAGCTTTCCGCTTACAGCTACAACTCTATTCGAATTATAGCCTTTAGTCGTAAACTATTGTAGTATTAAGAAAGATGAATTTGTCGGCAAGTCATTAAAAATGTTTGCCTTTATGGATACGAACTCGCTTTGATTTAGCTGAATGAAGACAATGTTCAGACAACTAATTTATCCAAATTGTTTAGAAATCATTTCATCGTAGGAGAGGTTCCTTGCTTGCGCTCAGACCCATTCCCTCGAATCATGAAATTCCAATTCAATTTGGATTTCAAAATCGAATTCGATTTTTATCCAAAATTTTTTCACCTCCCTTATAATACATTCTCACTTACCATGATATTATTTGACGCAAAAAAAAGTCTTTATAAAAAAATTTAAAATTATCAGGTTATCAGATTCAGATATAATTGATATATTCCATTAGAGGGTCCATTCATTATATCATTCTTATCATTCTTAACAGAATCAGATCAATTCTTTATTCTATTTTTATTTATTTATATACGAAAATTAAAAAAAAACCTCTAAAATGCTATCATTCTCAGATAATAAGACCATTCTATTGATTATTGG